AGGCATCCTCACGTTATACACTACCATAATTAAATCTAGTTGATCATCAAATTCGTTCATTACTTTCATTTACCACAATAGATAACAGAAGTACAGATTTTCCTTCTGAAAACAAAAATAAGTCGAGTGGAACTGAATTTCGATCATTTAATCCGTCTTGTTCCAATTATCACTGACAAGAAAGTAGATATAAGATATGAATTGCACGCAAGGTAAAAAAAGAGAACGGAGTCCTGAGAAAGAATGTAAGAAAGATAACCCTCACTCTAGAAATCTGACAAATATTAATAAAGAAGTAAACTCTAATAAAGAGCAGATAAATTCAAATTCTAATATTCAGCAGCAGTTACAGCCATCTCATCCAACGATCTCGTCGCAACAATCGCATCAATCTCACTCGCTGCAACCAACAATTCCTGCAATAGCTCAGACTTTTTCTGCTTATTATTATGGCGTTCCAGAACAGAATGATGTTGATCCAAATCAACGATCTCTTTCTATGATGACTCCTTTTAACATGTATGCTGCAATGAATCCTCAGTGGCCTAGTTACCAAATGGATGGCATGGGAATGCCTCCGAATACAATGCAAGCTTCTACTTCACTTCCTGTTAGCTCAGGCATGGATATGATACCTAGTACAAGTGCTGGTATCAATCCTTATGCAGCCTACATGCCCATGACAGGTGATATGTATGGTATGATGGGAAACTATTTACCATATCCTATGTATCCTCCAGACAACTCTATGATGATTCCTCCAGTTAAGGAAACTATCACTTTATCCTCTTGTGTTCTTTATCCTCCTCATCCAGGGCAACATTTTAAGACGAGAGAAAGACATCCAGGTTGTAAAACTGTGTTTGTTGGAGGCTTACCGGAAAAAATTTCCGAAGAAATAGTCCGTGAAATCTTTAGTAGATGTGGTGAAATAAGTACTGTTCGAATGAGTAAAAAGAATTTTTGCCATGTGCGGTTTATTGCAGAAGCTTATGTAGACCAAGCAATGATGTTATTAGGCTATAGATTAAAAATAGAAAATAAAGACGAAAGCGCTTATTCTGGAAGGCTCCATGTTGATTTTGCTAAAGCAAGTGATGATGAGTATGAATGGGAATGTTTGCAACGGGCATTACAAAGAGAAGCTCGTCATCGAGAAAGAAAGGAGCAAGAAGCTTTAAATCCTCCAACGCCACCACCTGTTGTTTATTATTCTGAGCATGAAGCAAATCTGTTAACTGATAAACTTAAGAGCAAAGAACATTTCAAATCTGCTACTCATGTTTTGATTACTTGGTTAGAAAGAGGAGAATGTAACAAGAAAACTTTTGGAAGTTTTTATTCTATGATTAAGTGTGCAATTTTTCATTTGCAGACATTGTTCAATGAGAAAGAAGAGTTAGAAGAAAAAATGTCCATTGCCAAGGAACAGATGCAGCAAAAAATGACTTATATTTCTTTATGTTTCAATGAGATATATAAAGTTTTTGAAACAATTCAAAGCTTACCATCTTCAATGGATATTTTCACAAAAGCTCAAAGAAAAGAAATTGAGATAATGAGAAAAAAAACATTGATGATCATCAAAACCCATTCCAGAGAATTAGTTGAAGAACGTGTTGAAGATGAAATGGAACTAAGTGAAGGAGAGGAAGAAGAGCAAAAATCATCAAATATTTCTGAAAATACCAAAGGCATATCTAAAGATGAAGTTCGGAAACTGCGTGAAGAAGTAGAGGAGTTGAGGACTCGTTATCAAAATGCTGTTGAAAAAAATGCTACATTAAAAATAAAGATGGAATCAACTTGTAATACATATGCTCAAATTCTGCAAGAAAAGAAAGAAGCTATAGCAAAACAAGCAGAGTTATCTGAATTAGAAAAATTTAAAGAAGAATTTGTAGCTACTCAAGGTCTTAACACCGCTTCTAGCCAATCACATGATGTTAGATCCAGTTCTGTAGATGAAAGCGGTAATAGTATGAGCACTATTACTCAACATGAGATGTGTTTAATTGCTTTGATTGCGACATTCTTGAATGTCCATCCCTTTGGAGTTAGTATTGATTGCATATGCTCATATTTAATCAAGATTGATTCAAATGTAAATGCTACAGATATAGAAAGTTTATTGGAAAGGTTTCCAAATTTATTCAAAAAACACACTTCTGGAATTGGAGCTACTTTGGTGAAAAATTGGAAATTTTTAGGCTTCTCTTCAATATCTCATTAAGCTTTTTTTTTTTTTCCCCATTTAATGTTCATCTTTTTTTATTGAAAAACTAAAAAAATTTTAGATTTACTTCTATGTCTGATTCCTTTTTTTGATTTCCAAATTTTAATAAAATATTTTAATTAAATTTTTATCATAATATTTAGCTTTTTTTCTTCTAAACTTATTTTATTTCATATTTATCTTTTTCCTTATTCATTTGAGTTTTATATTTGAAAGCTATTTGTGTGGTAATATTCTGTTATTTTGCAATTTGTTTTAGTACTAATATGGTTAATGCTTTGGTAATATTGTGTCATTCCATGTCATATCTATCAGTTTAAGACCGAACCCATGATTTTAAATAAATTTGGTGAAATGGGCATTAATTAATTGCATCAAGTTTTAATTTGAAAATTGTTCAAGTTATAAACTTTTAAATAATAAAATTTTCATGAAAAGCAACTGAACTAGCAAGTGGATGTAATTGTTTTCAAATTATAGCAGAAGAAACTTTCGAAACCATCGTAAAGCTAAGAATTGAGGCTTTCAATAGATGCTTTTCAACACTTTCTGAGGCTAGGTCAAACTTTTAAAGTGACTTGATTGGTCATTTGACCTGAAATATCCCAAAACATACTGTCTCAAAATATTAAACAAAAAATTTATCACTGCAATATTCTTCTACACATGTAAGAATTTGTACTTTGAAGTGTCAACATCAAAGATCTGAAGAATTCATATAAGTTGTATACTATACAACTATATCTAGTAACATCTAAGACATTTTCATCTCCTTCACCCGTATTAAAAAATCTTAACCTGTTGTTTGTACATCAACATTCATAATAATCTTTGTTTTGTCTACTTTTAAAGTCCTAAGCTTCTGTTCGCACAACTATGACAACAAAAGTCAATGAGGCTTTAAAAAATATACCTTAATTTACTCTAAGCTTATATCCTACCCACCATCAGCAGTCCCATAAAACAACACAGCAACAAGTATCCTCTAAAGGCACTTTTTAATTATTTAACTACACAGTCTTGATCTTGCTTTCATTAGCACTTAGGCATATCTTTTCCTTGAGAGGGTGTCCAGAAATTTAAAATTGGGGTCTAATACTTACGCTTTCCATAAATATTTTAAATATACATTGGTTGCATTTAAATATTTAAAACTTAGTTTATTCATAAATTTAAAACTGAATTCGATTTTCAACCTTATAGCCCAGTAAAGTTAGATGTTTTCATCGGAAAAAATAGTGGCTAAGTTTTTTTTCACAGACAGCTCTGTTATTTTATTGTAAATGATACTCAAAAACTTTCCTCTGTACGTTTTTTTTTTTTTTTTTTTTTTTTTTTTTTTTNTTTTTTTTTTTTTTTTTTTTTTTTTTAGTGGTGAAATGAAATTTCTTCTTGAGAGAGGAGTGAGGCATATTTTCTAATGTATATTTTTTTCACTGAATTGATTTAAAAACTCCTTTCAGTATTATCTCTTAGTGTCAATTTTTGAAAAATATGCTTATGTTTTTTTTTTTATGACCCGATGTTACCTTTTCCCCTGTTCTAATGTTTTTTAGCACTGTTCCAAGATAAAATGTAAAATTGGGATTCTACTGTATTTGGAGCTTGAGATAATTCTTGAAACTTTTCTTTCAGCTGGGAAACAGTAGATTCATCCGACATTGTTTGAGAATTCCTTCTTTTTGGATAACTATAGTAATCTTTTAAAACTTTTGCCAATTTTTAATTTTTTTCACTGTTTTGTCCAAATTGTAATCTATTCGTTTTTAAAAAAGATTCCAATTAAAAGGGGTGCAGACAATATTTTAAGTTACAAAATCAGATATGAAAATGTATTTTCTCTGACTAAATATGCCTTTTTTTTTTACATGGATTCAGATTTCTGATTCCTAAATATAGTGGGTCGCTGTAATCTGGGAAATATGGTTTCAATAGTTTGACAGGACAGCGCTCCAAAGTTTGTATCCCCTATGGTTCATTTTGCGTGTTTCACTATATTTCAAAAAGATTTTAAATGAATTACATTTTTGCACTCAATTACAAAATTTGTGTGTGCGTTTTTTTTTGCATCATTTTAAAGAATATAATTTTATGTGGCAAGGTACAAAATTTGAGCAAAATTGGTTGAATAGTTCCGGAGATATTAAATTTTTAAAAAAATTAGATATTTAAAATTTGATTTCTCAGGAACTATTGGACAAATTTTGTATATTGTCTTGTAAAATTATATTCTTTAAAATGATGTAAAAAACTGCATACCTTACCATTCAAAATTTTTTTGACTATTATTAAATAAAATAAAAAATAATAAATATTCAAGTAACTTCTATCAGTTTATTTTGTATAGTGCAATTGTCTTCTCTCTTTTATAATCAGGACATTTATTTGATTAAGCAATTGAAATATTGTTACTTTTAAAACATTTATAAATTTGTTATAAAGTTAGTAAAATTAATAACTCTCAATAACTTAATAAAATATTTTATTTTTTGATTAAACTAAAAAATGGATTTTAATTTTTAAAATTCTGAAAAATGTATTATGAAAAATAAGTAAATTAATAACACATAAAAATGAGAAGGTTGAAATAAAGGATGTTTTAATAAAGTGATATGTGTTGATTTGTCGATATGTGTTGTTCTGTTAATATGTGTTGATTTATTAAAAAATATATTATTTATATTAGTAATTTTAAAACTTAATATTTTTCTCCCAAGAAAAGAAATATTTGTTGCTTGCATTGAAAAGCATAACACTTTTAATTATACAGTGTTTAACTCTTTATACCTTTTTTTCTCTTAAGACTCCTAGGTACTAATTCTTACTTAAGTTAAGGAATGTTGCAATAAGAAAATGTACTTTATTCATAATTTTTTGAGACCACATGCTACGAGTTATTTTAGGACAAAGATCAAATCAGGTTACTTTGAATGTTTGACCTAGTTTCAGAATGTCATATGTTGTTTCAATTGATAGGTCTTGTAGTTTGAAATTTTCTTCTGCTATAATTAGACAAAAAGTTGCTACCAATTTCTCTGTATGCAAGTTTGTCGTTTTTTATGGAAACTTTACTTCATTCAAATGTCCAAAACTTTGACAATTTTCAAATAAAATATCTACAAATTGATAATAGTTGCTTATTTTATCACATTTATCCATTCCAAATAATTTCATTAAAATCAAAGGGGTCGGCCCTGAAGTGATTGATCTGATGTGGAATGACGCAGTTGGAAGAATTACAAAAATGCTTTCTGTAATTTACTTTACATTTTGTGAAAGATGACAAGGTTATATTTTATTTGTGAAAACTGCTTGGAAACTTATAACTCAGAACTATAGTGCTAAATTTTTTAAATCTTCAAATTTATTTTTCTGATCTTTTGTTTGATATCAATGTTATTTGCATGCAAAATTTTTAAATTTCGAGACCTGTCATTTTTGGTTCTATGTGTAATTTTTTTTTGTTTATTCAATAATTTATTAAGCTTTATTTAATCTATTGCATTTTAACTTTTGTTATTTGTAAAAGCTAAGTACTTGTATGTTTTTTTGTGTTTTTTATTATTTTTATGTCTCTCATTTGGAACTCATGGAAAATTTATTTTAAATCTGGATTTCAGGTGAGTTAAATAATGAATGAGCCCATATTTATTTTTTTTATTCCAATTTTTCATTCCCAATCAAGTTTCCCTTAAAATTTTAAGAATTTTTATTTTATTTTCATCTTTTTTTAAAAAATTACTATAACATTAAAATATGGACTTTAAAAAAGGCAGTAATGGTCTGTTTCAGTCATTGTATGTGTTGTGCTCAAAAAAGATATTCTAAATAATGTTTGTTCTAATGATGATCAGTGTAAATTAAATGCTTCATATTTGCCAATTAGTTTATGGTGACAATATTTTAAATTCTGAAATCAGACATACGTTACTAAACATACCTTTTGTTTTCTTTCCAAAGTTAAGTTTATTTTAATCTTCACGTTATCTTGAAGTTTTTCTGCAAATAAAAAATTTTTGCATTCAATTCAAAAATTTTTATAGTTTAAGTTTATCGAACATAAAATAATTTTGAATAAAGTATTTATTATTTATTTTTTCTTAATAATCATCAAAAAATTCTGTAATTGTAAATTATAATAATTTAACCCAATTTAAACTTTGTAATTTTAAATGATGAATTACAGAATTTAAATTACATATTTCAATTAAAGGTAAAGGTTTAAAAATACAGATTTTTCCAACATTTTGTTACACAGAAAACTTTTTCACCATATTTTATTAAAGTTTTGTGCTTGGTCATTAAAAATAACATTGTTTAAAAGGGTGTAAAAATAGTATATCTTACACTTCAATATTTTTCTATCTTAATTAAATATAATATGTTGTTGGAAACTATATATCTTTCGCTAATAATTTAATTGTGTACAACGTTTTTCAGTTTTTATTAGCTTATAAATTTTCTGTTTTATTGTAAAATATGTTAGAAGTAAATTAATATTAAGAAGCTTAAACTTCCAAAACTTTCTTAACTTATCTATTGGCACCATATTTCAGATTATGTTTCTCCGAATTTTGATTGTCAAAAAACCTAAATCATAAAAGAGAAATTGAATTCTTTTTATGAGAAAATATGATTCAGTGTCCAACTTTAACTTAAAAAATATTCTGCACTAATTAATTGGAAAATTGGAGATCACTCTTTGAACCATTAGGATTTGCACTAAATCTGATCATTGAGATCTGAGTTCTTGAAAATCTGATCATTAAAGCAAAAAACTATTCATAAATTTTTTTTTGTGTGCACATTTTACTTAATTTTTTTCTGATGAGTTATGTCAGTATACGCTAATTCATTTCATCAGTGATGAATTTTTTTTTATCGGAAACTAAGAAAGCCCCAAGTTTATTTTCAAAAATAAATAAATTAATTAATTAATAAAATAAAATAGAAATTTGCTTAGTTTGCATTGTTTCTACAAATTTTTTTTATTCCTTTTCCAAAGCTAAAATCAAATATCCTTTTTTAAGAAATAAATTTAGACTTAAAATATTATATGATGCTTAGATTAATAAGTTTTGTTTTATTTTACAGTTAAACAAAAAAATTTTGTTTTCCTTCAGCATCTTGAATTCTGTTATGAATTTTTTCAACTTAATACCTTAATTTGAATGAAATTTCCGGCTGTTTTAAAAGAAATTAATTTTAAAACTGAATTGTTTTGTTAATCTTATTTTCCAAAAAGCTTGACGGCTTGCTGAAGCAAGTCAAAAAATGTAAGGCAGATATTAAAATACTGATTTTTCAATTACCTTGGTGAATTGTAAAATTATGGCAATGTTTGCTGAGAGCCAAATTTTTTACTTAGCCTTCAACACATATTCTGCATAATTTTATACAGTAAACTAAATTTACACAGTGAAGTAAGTTTTTCCATTTAGTTTGATAGTAAACTGAAAGTAAATTAATTGAAAAAAGAAATCTTATTTTATCAAGAATTTCTTAACTAAAGCTTTAAAATGTTATATTAACAAGCTTTAGTATTGAATTACAGATTTAAGAATGCTGGATATTTGTATTGGTATTCAGAAACTTTCTGTTCCATTCTGAATGATTAGAGATTCAATCTTAATATGAATACAATACAGAATGTAATATCTATGTTAGGTTAAGTGTTTTTGAACTCTTTTTCTGTTAAAGATTGCATAAAACTTTATTAGCATACATATATATTTTCAATTTTGTTTCTATTTTTTATCTTTCTAAATTCTAACAACTCAAAGAACATGTTACAAAGCAAGCTGAAGAAATTAAAAAATTTTTTTTTTTAAAATTTTGTCCAAAGGATTTTTCTTCTTAAAAAGCGTTTTTTTTTCTCTCAACCAGGGTTGGCAAGATTTTGCCGCAGGTGGAAAAAACCATGGTAAATACCGGTAAAAACCGTCCTGGCAAAAACAGGTTTTTGCCAAGCAAAGTGGCAAAAAGTGGCAAAAACCTATATTTTCCAAGATGAGAGGACAAAAACACATTTTTGATACAAAATTATTCCTAAAATTGAAATATATACTATGAATATAAATAATTACAAAAAAATTAACAAAACTATTATTCCATAATTAAATGATAATGTAATAATATATCATTTTAGTAGTTTAAAACATTATTGATTGGAAAATTTGTGATTATTCTCTTTTTTCCAGTGAAATGAACTTATTTTAAATTAATATAACTATAATTTAAAGCATAAAATATCTATCAACATGTGTAGTTAATTATTGTACAAATAATAATTTTTTATAATAAATAATAATATTATACAAATAATAATATTTATTTATTTGTAAAAAAACATTTATTTTAGGATTCTAAAATGAAAAGAGATCAAAAACTTTCAATCTTTTAAAAATTATTACCCTTAGGTATATTAATTATTAATATATTAAAAATAATTTTTTCATGAAAATGTATCAAAATTATTATTCCTTATGATTGATTTAAATTTGTTTCAAGTATTTTGTATAAATATTTAATCAGCAATTTAGATAATTTGGTTTTTGCCGGTTTTTACCAGTTTTTGCCGGTTTTTACCAGGTTTTTGCCACTGTCCTGGCAAAAACCCCTTTTTGCCGGCAAAAACTCCAACCTTGCTCTCAACATCGCGTTTTAAATCATTTCATAAAATTTTATTTTACTCTGAGTAAAATACTTGAAGAATTTTTCAAAGTAAGTGACTTATATATTTTTCTTTTACCAGTAAAAAATATGCCAAGATTTTGTTTTATTTACAGTTGCTAGCTAGGCTGCCAAATTTCTTTTGAATCTAATATTTTATTAGAAAGTACGCAATCTGATAAATTAATGTATGGTGCTAAAAAAATGGTTATTCTGTTTAAAGAAATTTAGCTAATGTCTAAACTTTATTTGATATCATTAGCCCTACTTATATGGAACATCAAGCAACTTGTTTCCTGAATTATTTGAATGTTCGACTTATATATTTTATCGAACATTAAAAACTTTGTATACTTTTGTTGAACTGTGTATGCAAACCAAGAACTGCTTTAAAAGTTTTTAAGCTTTTGTTATCGGTGAAAGTGCTATTGAATAAAATCCATTCAGTAAGTAATTTTTTGCAAGATTATCTTAGTCATCTGAAGAAGACACAGGATAAGTGAACATGTTATTTACTTTATTGCTTTTGAGTTGGAAGAACTATGAAGAAGCCACTTAGGTTTATCTTTATGTGTCAAGAAAGTAAGTCTTTTGACTTAATTAAATGGGATTCTGCTCTTGGTGATGTCAGTTTTGCAAGTTTGTTTAAGAAGTTATGCATCAAGTTCAACCTTCCAATAGACCACTGTACTCTTGCAATTTGTAGGTAAGAACTTTTTTAATCTCTTTATTTTATGAGTCAAATGCACATAGTAAAAGTCCAATATTACAAGAACACATAACAGTGGGAAAAAATTGTATTCAGATGTTGAGAGTGACAGGAATTAATGAGCAGTTTTCTGTTGTCAGAGCTCTTTGTTATGTATTCCCTTCTCCCAAGGCAATGTTCATAAGATATTTTTAAGTTAAAAAATTTCATGCTTTGCAGTATTTCATGTAGAATAGGAATTATTAAATAGGCAAAGAGCATACATATACAAAAGATTCATTCTGACAAAATTGCATTGTTACAAAAAAGTATGCTATTTTTAAAAAATCAAGATCTTTTTTTCCCCAATACTTTAAGAAAAGTTTAACAGACTGAACATAATTAATTATTGTAAGTATTCAAGTCTAGTTAACAGTTTTAGGACTACAAAATTATATGAAATACTATTAAGAAAAATCACGTTCTCCCAGGAATATCTATGCCAACTTACCTTTCTTGGTATCCCCTTGTGTTCATCCCTGATGGTTTCAACTGTGCTTCGATATTCATTATTTGATTAGATATTCTCTCGTATAATGCCAAGATTGTTAGAAACAAAAAAATGTGCTTTCTTTTAAAATTTTATTGATGTTTCAGTGCTGTTTTCAGTACTTTTTACTACTTATGACTGCATGTTTTCTGAACATGCTCTATTAGCCTTTTTCTATACATCTGCTAGTTTTTAGTTTTAGTTATTTTTTCAGCTCAAAAAATAAAGGCAGGTAAGTATGTATTGTCCTATACAGAACCCTTACAAGCCTTTTTGGGCTAAGTGGCAAAATAGAGTCTAATTAAGAGACCTCTTCCTTTGTTTTCTTGAGTTTTACAAAAAAAATAATTTAATTTTGTTAATGTTTTTTGTTCTTCACAAACTTTTAATGATAGTGTGTAGTTCTAAAGAGTCATACTATTTAAGAATTAAAAAAAAGTCTTTATTAAATATAGAAAGTTTTTGTTAATTTTTGCAAGTGTTCTAGATATTTTCTCATAAGCTTAATGTAATGAAATTATATGATGTGTAATACAATTGGGATGTGGATTTAATGCTGTACACTTGCTTCTTTTCAGATGTTTTAAATTTTTTTTTGTTGTTTAATTTGAATGATTCTAATAGTACTTTATTGATGCAAGTTACATAAACACAAAGATATTTTCAAAAATCTAAAGGCATGCAAATGTAATAAACCAGAACTACCTTTTTAAAAATGATTGTCACAGAATTGTTTAGACATAATTTTTAAAGAAACAATCTGTTTCTAGTTTTTAATTTCAGAACAATCTTGTATTAACTGTTCGAAAGATGTTGCAAAGTTGAGTAAATGACAAACATTAGTTTATTGATGAAAATTGAATACAGATATTTAAATAATGTTTTACTGTTTCCCATCCGTTTATAGTCATTTGAGGGTTAAAGAGGATGATGATACTCTTTTTCCTGCGCATGTCAATCAATTCAGAGAAGGCTCTTAAATTTTTTAACATTTTAATTTTCTCTTGTTCAACCGATAACTTCACCCAAATTAATTACAATTTTGGAATCTTAATTTTTTAGTCTCATAACTTAATAATTCACGTCAAAAGGGAAAATTTCAAAATTAAAGATGTATTAAGATAAAATAATATTTTTCTAAAAAATATTTAAATGAATGCATAAATCTAAATATTTCATAACATTCTCAGAATCCTAAATTTTAGTTCTATTCTTTTAATGTTGTTATTTTTATTAGCAAAACAGGATCTGTATTGTGATTTTTAATTTAGTTTCAACTTAATATACATAAAAAGAATGAGAAACAAAGAAATTTACAGAAATTAATTTTCACAATTTTTTAAAATTTAATTAAGTATTATTTAATTTTATTTTTTAATTTATTTAAGTATTATTAAGTTTAAATACATTTTAACACAACTAAAATTTTATTATGGGTGTTTTCTATCTAAAAGAAATATTTTTTTCTTCAATGCCTACTTGATTGACACTCCTCATTCAAATATGAGTAGGGCAGATTTGTTAGCCACCCAGATGCACCATAATAGATGTGCTAATGCATCTTCCACAGTAAAGACAGATAGAACAGAGAATGAAATAACATCCATGCTAGTCTAACTTTCACTTTCTGACTTAGTGGCATACTAAGTACTTTAAAAGTTCTTTTTTTCAATACTTTTTCCAGTTTAATTTTTATTTTAGGCCAATTTGAGAACACAGTTTTATTTTTTTCCTAAAATGGTAGGAAGGGTTAGTTTTTCCCTTAAGTTTCTAAGTCAGTACCTGTTTTCAGTATGATGTCTATGTGGCTATGAAATGTTAATTTTTTGTCTAACATTGTCTACTTTACACATTAGCTTGGTTATGTAAAAAATCCTCATTGGAAACAATCTGTACCTCATTACACGACTAAAGAGCATTTGATTTTGATTGCAGCACCATATTTCTTTCTGCATCTGGCTTACTAGATGACAGACTCTAATGTACACCAGAGTTGCAACATAAACTCTTCATTAAGTTCTTGCTGCAAAATATTTTTGAATTAAAATATCAATACAGAATCGTTTCCATACTGGTATCAATTCATAACTAAGCGAAGTGCTGGTGGTTGCCTGTTGGAATGATAGAGAATTACCTCATTCTGTAAAGAAAATGTCTTTTTAAACTACTTAGTTGTTAAAGGCTCAGTGATCAATGCAACTTAGAGCGATAACTTGTCAATCTTTCCTTCGGTGAATTTATATTGCATAAAATTTTCATATAACTTTTTCCTCTTTAGAGCGAAGTGGAAAAGAACTCATAAACTAAACTATTACCTCTAATCATTAAACTAGAAGTATAAAATCTACTGTTTAGTATGGCAGATAAAAAATGCAGGCTGTAAAAAATGCATGGCAAAAGTTATTAATTTTACTGTGAGGTATGGATTCTAATATTGTCACCTTCCTTCAAATTCAATATCATGAATTCACAGAGGAAACAACTATATCAATTATGAATAGTAAAGGTGGGTATTAGTTATTATTTTTCTCTGTGTGATATGTAGTCTAGATGTATGCCAGAAGTAGTAAAACTTATTAAGGTTTGTTTTGTCCTGTAGGGTTGATAGTTTAAATATTGATCTATAGTTTATTTTCTTGCCCTATTTTAATGTAATTAAAATTATTTAAATTATACTATTACTAGTGCTAATTATTATTTAGTTAACAATGCTACTTATATTTTGCTTGAAATTTTTCAAAACTGCATTCAAATTATCAACTGTTAGTTGTGTTATTTAATTGTTAAGTTTTTATTAGTTGCTGTATTAAATTTCATTTGATTTTTTTTCAGTGATAGATTAACATGCCAGCCACTGATTCTATGATTGCTGATGGTTTCATTCCCCATTTAGCTGCCAACAAAGTACTGATTATTTTGAACTAAACATCTGTAAGAACAATAAGTCAGACGCACTAATTGTTGTTTCTTTAATAGTTCGGTGAGTTTAATTCTTGTTTAATTTTGTTTTGTGTTCTTTTAATGTAGTTAAATTATTTTTAGAATTGTATTACTTAGATAATTTTCTGTAAGTAATTTTTGGTTTTTGTTTACGACAACCGTACTGCATATCATGAAACTGCATTTGAGTACCAAAAATAGAGGAACGTCAAGCCCTGTTACTCACCTGACTATTGACAACAAATTGAAAGCAACACGAGTGATGTTGCTGTCAATCGTAGAATTGTTCATTTTCTGTTTCTTTTCATTATTTATTTTTTGAAATAAGAGATAATTTCAAAGAAATTTCCTTTGCATGTTTTGATTTAAACTTAATTATATCATTTAATTGAATTGATGCTTTATTCTTTATATGCATTCCTAAAGTGATTATTTATGAGTTTCTAATAACTTTTAAACTTATTTGATGTTTTTATAGTACTTTTTTTTTTCAAATAGTGACTTTCTTCTCAAGAAGGTTGGTTACTTTTGATCTGTATGCAATTCTGTTTTGCCCTAGTCCTTTCCTTGAACAAGAAATTTTGTGTTACGCTTCTGAATTATCAATATGATCTGTAATTGTTATTTTTCCTGCTTTTTAAGTTCATTTTGTGTGCCAAACACAATAGTGGTTCTAAAAGTTTCGTAAAATTTTGTATAAATTCACTTTTTAATAGAATTACTTGATTATTTAGAAATGCCAAAATATCTAGCTTTTTTTGGAGTGATATCCTCAGAAGGGAATAAAAAAAGGTATTTAAAAGTGAAAATATTAAAAGATATTTACAGCTTTTTTATTTTTTTTTTTGTAGAGTCAGCTTTGGTAAAAAGTGTAGATGGGGATAAAGTGGGTACAGTAGAGCGCCGATTGTGCGAACTGCCCGGGACCGAACGTGTTTCGGATAATGAAAAGTTCGGATAATTGGAAAGTTGTTTAAAATCTAGTTAAAATGATTATTATTTATGCAGTAACTTCCCTTCACACTTTTTCCAGGTTTAGGACAGGCAGTAGTATCTAATATAGCTCTGTTTAACAGTTCTTTTTTTTTTCAATTTTTAAATATTTTTTTATTTATTTATTTTTTTTTTACTTCGTTTCATTTTGAATTATTTCAATCATATTTCAGCTTTTGTAGTTTTTTTTTCAATTACTGTTTTTAACACACTTTTCTTTATTTTCCATTGCAAAAGAAATCCAGCAAAGACTTTTGTTTCAAAGAAGATGCTCTTTTTTGAGCAGCTATATCCCTTATTCTTTTTAAATAAATCAACTGAAGTGGATCAACATCATTTTGACGTTCTAGCCAATTCATTGCAATATCTAATGAATTGCATGCTTCTATATGAGAAGGTCCATTATCTTGAGCTTCGTCTGTGGAGTTTCGATTTTCACTCAAAATTTCAGCAACAGTTTCATCATAATTTAAAATCCTGGGACGTTTTCAGTGTCTCAACACCAGTCTTCTATTTCTTCTGCTGCATAATCTGGCATCTTTTCACCGGAAACGTTCAGAAATTTAGAAATTTTTTTTATAAGTTAAAAAAAAGTATTCTTAACTTAAAAAAAAAAAAAAAGCAATTCAGACATAATTCGGATAATTGGACGTTCGGATAATATGGGTTCGGATAATCGGCGCTGTATATGTTAAAAAATATGTATTCTCTCCTTTTATGCTGAGATAATTTGTTCAATATTTTTAGAGATGTTTACTGGGATTGAGGTAAGCATTTTTAATTCAGTTTTAGAAACTCGATGTTTACAAACTATCTGATTATGATTGACTTATAATGTTTGTTAGTTTAAGCTGTTGATGAACTTTCTTCTAATATCACTTGAAACTTTCAAAAACTATTAGTTTTAGTACAAACTAGTAGAGAGATATCTAAAAAACATATCTACATAGAAATTTTAGAAGAAATTTTAAAATTCTATTTATTATGAATTGTTTTCTGAGGTAGGGTAAAGAGGGTATATGGTTAGGTTTAGTTAAGTTTTGTGTGGTAAGGATATTTTCTTTACTTCTGTATTAGTTTTAATAAGAATCTAATGTTCTATATTTTATTATGAAATAGCTAAAAAACAAGTTACTTGTTTGACTATAGCCCTACATAATGATTTTAACAATGAAAAACAATTTGTTTTAAATTTCATCTTTTGAAGAGAAGAATGATTGGAGGAATAGCGATATAACAAACATATTATACAATTAAACAAATTATCAAAGTAGCATAATATTGTTACTTAACGATCATATTAAGATATAGATGAGTTTTCATGCTAGTTTCTGCCTTCATATGGCAGTTTTTTCATGGAAAACAAAACAATATCCTTAAAGTAATTAAATTCATTAAAAATATGTCTGCTGTAAAAAGTAAAAATACTTTAAATTACCACTACTGATATTAATTTTTACAATCTTATTTATATTTCAAATAAACCAAACACTATTGTGTAGAGTTCAGCAAAATATACTATTAGAAGTGAAATGTAATTTTTATAGTCCTAAACATTAACTTTTCAATATGAAAAAAAAAAGTATTTTTTAAATTTAGTTCTTATTTTTTTTAAAAATGTATTTAAGATACATTTATTTAAGAGCATATATTTTTTTTCCAAAAAAATATTAACATAAGTTTTTGAATGAAATATATGTACTAATACTCACTAGAACTATTCTTACTTTACTTGACTTTGGGATTAAGTGGTTATATCAAAACATGTTCTTTTGAATACATTACTGTAAAAAAAAAAAAAAAAAAAAAAAAATCAAGCTAAATAGATAAGTTATGCCTCATATTTAATCTATATGAATCCAATGTTTATAAAATTCATTCAAATTTTCCACAAAAAAAAATTGAATGGTTTGGTTTTAGAGTGTTATGATGGTATGTTTAAGTTATTTTGTTAGTTATTTATGGGCACAATTTTATTTAATTCTTTTTGGGCACCGCGTTTTAATTTAAATAATCTCATTTTTTTTTAATCTATATTTTTTTTTTTACTTTAATCAACAACCACATCTGATTTTCACTTACACCCCTATCCTTCAACGCCTTCCAATATTCCTTCCTTCACCCCTGCTTGAGAGTGGATTCGTTCACAGGAGTGAATAGTCAAAGCGACAGTAGCGCCACCCTTCGGTGCGGAGGAATACATGAGCGGGAGGAAAGAGCGGCAGTTCGATTTTAGGTATTCCCTGCTGCTGACGACGGAGATTCAACGTGATCTGTGGAAGGATGCGGGGTGGCCGGCCACGCGCGCTTCTAGGATAAGTCCTTTACCATTTTTTTTTAAATATATTTTTATGTGCCCGTAAATTCTTTTATTGTTGTATAATTTTGGTATGACGTAACTAAAGAGAAATGATTAATTTTAAATAACCTGTCGAACTAAAATGTAAGTTATGTAGCAGTGAAGCAACTCATTTTTAAATTGTAAACTTATTTGACTTATGATTAAGTTCTTTGAATAAAAATATTTAGTCTGGATTAATTATGCTGTTGGATGTGAATCCTTAAAATTTAATTTGCTTTTATCTTCCAGATCACCAAGATTATTATTGCTGTAAATTTAAATGTGCTAATAGTTTTAAATTAACTTAAATTACTTCTACTTGTTATATCTGATAAATTTTGTTAGTTAAAGTTAAATCCACTTTATACCATCTAACCCTATATATTAAATTTGAATGGTATAATTGAAACTGAAACATCAGTATTTATGGCATGAAACTTGAAGCTCTAAAATGAAAAAGACACTGTAATTAGAAGTTATATTAAGGAATAAATGTTTGTTGTGTATTTTGTAGTTAGTTTTCCCTCTAACCTCATATTGTTTTTTAGATAGGATCATTAACTTCAGTTTTCCACTGTGTGGAGCTGGAAACAGTCTTCTTATCTTGCTGCATATATTATCTTTGCTTTGCTGGACACCACTTTCATGACTATAGTTGCAGCCAATGATTAAGACTAAAGGGCTTTCATGAGGCTTAAAGAGATTATTGAAGGATTAAAGGTCAGCATGCCAAAATAAATTTCTACTGATGTTAAAATATGTTGTAAACTTATTATAAATTTTTTATGTCAAGCTGTTTTCTAAAAAAAAAATTCATAAACTTTAAAGCCTAGCTAAAACAATACAAAATATATTTTTTGAATATTGTATAAATATAAAGGGGGATCAATTATTGCAAAATAATTCAGAAAATTACTGGAACAAAAAAGAAGGGATGCATTGCCTATCAATTCAGCTATTTAAAGTTATTGAGGAAAACTTAATCTAAAGTGATAAATTGAAATAAGTTTTAGTTTTTAGGATATTGTGAAAAAAACGATCTAAATCAAGTTATGCATGCAAAAAGTCATTCAATTTTATATGTAGGTAGATATGCATTTATTATTCACACTATCAAACCTTATTTTTGCTTTGTCCAATACTCAAACCATCCATGTTCGTAAATATATTTAACAGATGTGTAACAATAAGATCTTATTTGTATCAGCAACAATCAAAATCAAGCTATGAAATTACCTAAGATTGAAACTCATATCTTAACAATTACCATATTAATGTTTCTGTTACAATATTGAAAACAAAATGTTCGCCATAGTGAAAATAAAAAAATTATAATTATTTCTTCCTATTTTTTATACTATGTAAAAATATAAAAATCTTGTGATTAATATTTGTACAATTTTTTTTTATTGATTTAAATACATTTGTATTCATTTTCAAGTTTTTAAAGCAAAATAATCTTTATTTTTGCAGCTTTACTGTTAACTCAGATTTCATATATATATATATATATATATATACAGTCGAACCCCGCTATAGTGAACCGTCTGCGGACTCAGTAATGTGTCCACGATAACCGATGGTTCACTATATCCAAATTTTTTGAAGAATATTTTTTGCATAAGACAGTTGAATGATTGAAAATTGACTTTGCAATTTTGCGTAAGTTATTTAAAAAATTATTAACTAATTAACAGATAATAAAGCAAAAATTGATGGAAAAAATAATTACGTTGCTAAATATTAGTTTTATTTTCACTTTTTATGAAAAAAATTTGTGATTTTTGATTGAACACAATTTGATTTTAAATTGAGTTCATCAATTTTCTTATCTACAATGTGCAAAGAATGCAAGATTTTTACATTTTGAACAAGATTTCGAACC